AAAGATGTGCACCTCTGCGCCCCCGCTCCACGCCCCCCCCCGCCCCTCTGCCACCCTGCTTGACAGGCCATCAGCTTTGTGGGGCTTAATTTCCCCTTGGAATGCTGCCCAAGAACACCCCCAGTACAGAATCCTAGCCACAGTCTAGGAATGATTAGCCAGTCTGATCTGACTCATGGGCGAGCCCCCGGTCACCTGCTGGCTGAGCTGGAAGTGGCCCCTGTCCAGCTCCGGAATGAGACCTGTCCGGGGTTTTGGTGGCCGGTCGTGGAGCATCTCCCAAAGACTCTGGACCCCTTTGTTGAAGAAGCAGCCTGAACAAGCAGCCTTGTGCCTTGGCCACCCAGGGGAACCGCCGTGTAGAATTCTTGTCCTTCCTGCCCAGTTTTCTATCCCCGTCACTTTGTCCAGCGTGCTCTGGGCTGGAAGGGGCCCTGCTTATGGATAGACACCGCTGTTGGTAGCTTGCTGTGAGGTTCCCAGGGTGAACTGGTGGGCTGGGAGGAGAATGGAATGACTGGGAAACAATTCAACTAGTAAGATTCTTCATCTTCCAGAGAAAAGACTCCTGTCCACCATGGGGTGGTTTGAAGATGAGAAATGAGGCCATAAAGTGCCCAGCCCAGCTCCTGTCACATAGTGAGAGCCCATAAGCGATGAGTCAGGAATGCGCACACCAGGCCCAGTGCTGGGGGAGCTGGCACCCATCCTGTTGCACGTCTAGGGAAATGAGCCCTCCTGGTGAGGTGACAGACGATGCCAGCTTGCAGGCAGTTTCTGAGAGCCGCCCCCTTTGCTCTGTCATGCTCAGCAGACTGGCGAGGAACACCCTGGCTTATCCGTTTAGTTAAGCCAGTTCCAGATCCGTGTGTGAGTAAGGAGTGCATTAGAGCTGAGCTTGCCTGAGTCAGCTAGCTGACTCCTCAGATTGACATATGAGGACCCCGCCGCCCAGAGAGGTGAGGGGGCGTGTCAGGCAGGTGGAGCTTTGGGGGCGTTCCAGGGAAGGTCAGCAGAGGGTGTCCAGATAGTCCTGGTGACTGGGAGGTGATGGAGGACTGGGACCAGCAAGATGAGCAGGCAGGCAGCGCTTCCCTGGAGGAGGGACCAGGCACCCTTGGCCACACCACCTTCAAGGCCTGTGAGGGCTGCCTGTGTGTCTGACAAAGCTGGGCTCAAGAAACTCGAGACTTGGGGCTGTGGTCTGATTCCAGCGACTGATGCTCTTGAGGCTCTCCCCGGAGAGAAAAGGTGATCAACTCCTCGAGATGAAATTCTTCCAGATTGTCAGGCTGTTCTCCTGTCTTGCTGGCCTCCTGTCTTGGTTTGGGGGAGAGGCCTGGCCTCCACTTCTGAGGACTGTGGCTTCCTCCAGCAAGGGGCTCGAGGGAGACTGCAAGCCCCCCCGCCTGCCTTCTGGAACTGGCTGCCTGGGACATGGCTTCTACCTGGAGCAGGTGGTTCCTGGATGGGTGCTGGGGTCTCTGGCATCATCGTAGGGGAACCAATTCTCTGCGACCTCCCACCTTTCTGTTCTCTCCTCTCCTGTGGGCTGGGGGTGGGGGGCGCCATGATCACCCTGCAGCCTCCTTTCCTGGGCCTAGACCGGGATCTGCTTTTCTGTTTAATGTTTGGCAGCGACCTTAGGCACGGCCTGGGTGCTGCTATTTAAAACCACAGGAAAATCCCCTGCGTGCTGCTGCCAGCGCAGTTGAGAAATCCCCTGGTGTGCACACCCGGCCCAGTGGAATATTCCACCTTGGAAGGGGCGGGCTCTCTGGCCTTGGCCACGTGGGGCCCATTTTCACGTTGAAGAATTGCTTCCTTGTGGAGGAGGTGTGGGAAAAGGGAAGCTACCCAGAAAAAGGCCCCGTTTACTCAGAGCTCGGTCATGCTGGGAAGCTCTTGGGTCCCATAAGCTGTCAGAGGACCCCTGCCCTGGAGCACCCTTCTCCTTTTTGGACCCCTGGACCTAGAGGATTCACAGCTCAGATGCCCCTCCTGGGCCGGAGCCTGGCTTTTCTCAGCCAGCATCAGTTCCCTCCTGTCTCCTGCATCCCAGGCCCACTGCCCAGTGGGTCCCAGTGGGGCCCAGTGGGTCCCCAAAGAGCTGCCTCCCAACTGGGTGGGTCTGGCCCAGCCCCAGCTTCATGGCCTTTATTCTTTAGTAAACTTAGCTCCAGACTGACTATTCCTGGGGTGACTTCAAGGACACTCTTCCTTGAACTCAGACCGCTAAGACTCTTCCACAAACACCTCTGTGCCTGTGAACTCCTAATGGCTTTACCTCCTGGGGTCAAAGGAAGCTATGTGTTATTCCCATTTTACAGGTGAGATAATAGGGCCTCAGGGAGGGTCCAGAACATGTCCCAGGTCAGTGAGGACTGGATGGAGCCAGGACTCAGGCCCAGGGCAGCCTGTCTCCCCCATACCACAGTCCCCTGAGTCCAACCATCTCAGCCCTCACTCATGCTTATCAACCACTACTTCCAGCTCTTGTTCCCAGCACACATGGCCCAGTTGCTCTAAATCTCGGTCCTGGGCCTCTGTTCCCGCAGGCCCCGCTGCCTGCAGGAGTCTTCTGCCCCCTCGAGTCTGCCCCAGACCGCCTCTGGGGGTCAGCCTCCATCACAGCCTTCCTTCCCAGCAGGCCTCAGTCTTTGCATCCCCCCACCTCCAGCCCCACCCTGGCAGCTGACAGTCCTCCCTGGGTCCTCTGCTATCTCCACATCTGCAAATCTAGCATGAGATGACACGCTGCAGTGGGGTGATCGGGGCCTCTCGTCTTCCTCTGAGGGGCCCTTGATCTTGGGATGTGAGAGGGGTCGTTTTTCAGGGAACTGCTAGAGTGTCCACAGGACCAAAGAGCATGGGGGAACAGTTGTCCATCTCTCCCTAGACAGATGAGAAAACCGAGGCCCCAAGAGTGTTCGTGAAGAAGGGCAATGTGGGGGGACTTCCCTGGTGGTCCAGTGGTTAAGAACCCAACTCTCAATATGAGAGATGCAGGTTCGATCCCTGGTCAGGGAACTAAGATCCCACATGCCATGGAGCAACCAAGCCCGCAAGGCCAAAAAAGAAAAAGGTCAGTGCGGGTTTAGTTGACCCCTTATGAGTGAGTGGTGTGGGATGGGGTCAGCTCAGCCCTGGATGGAGAGCACTCTACCTTCTCCTGCCTCCGACCCGGCTCTGAACCTGTGGGACCCTCGTCCCCTCTGAGCTTTGTTGCAGGAGTGTGACCAGAGGATGGTGATCACTTGCACTTTTCTTTTGGACCCACCTAAATGTCTTCCCCCTGGGTCAAACAGGCCATCACTTGGTTGGTTGTCTCATGTAACTAGATTTTACCATTGCTGCCCTCATGCATTGTCTGCCCTGAGTGTTTATGCAGCCTTCTGGGTGCTTAGATAAGAAACACTGACTTTCCTTAGCCTTCTTTGGTGATCTCCATCAGAAGAATCTAGGAAAAACACCCTTGTCGATGAGGCCAGCCCTTTGTCATGTGGCCTGGCAGAGCACTGCCCTCACTTAAGGATAGAGTAGGTCTTGACAGTAGAGCCAGGTTTTCTGGGATGGGGCAAACATTACCAGGTTCACGTAGGGAGGAATTTTTCTCCTTAAACAGATTTCAACTTGAAAACTTGACGACAGAAGTAGCTGAGTCTCACCACGGAGAAAAAAAACAAAGGAGACCAATTTAACCTTGATTTAACCTTGGGGAGTCCGTTCAGCATCCTCTGGGCGGCTGCTGGCAGACGGTGCAGGACGGGGAAGGAGGAGCTGCCTCTCCAGGGTGCCCTGTCCAGGCAGGACCCCCTCTTCTGCAGAATTCCCAGCTTCCCCTTCCCAGCACAGAGTCTTGGGGGTTTACTGTCTGTGGTTTTGCTGGTTCAGGGATCCGCTTCTCAGGAAGTTGAAATGTTTCTCAGTTCATTTCTCATCACCCCCTTCAGGGGCTCGAGTCTGGGGACACTTGATCTTCAGGTCTACAACCCATTCTTATTAAAGTTCATTTAGAGATATTTTTATACAGAGAAATGTTTATTTCTGGGGATAAAAAGGATTTTTTTTTTAAGTAGTCATGTAGGTGAGGGTTTAAATGCTGCTGTGTTACTTACTTGTCTGAGGCTGGGGTTCTGCAAATCGAAATGACAATGATTACCATGCTTGCTGAGAAAATAAAATAAGGTGCTCAATAAAGGTTAGTTCTCTTTTCTGCCCAAGGAGCCCCTCCTATACACACACACACAGAGACACACACACACAGTTTTCATTTAAGAAACGTCCTGAGAAGGAGAAGTACGGTGAAGAAGGAGTCTCACGGGCTTGCTCACCCCGGTGTGCACCAGAGCCTTGGTGGCACTGCAGTCCCGGGGAATTCCCTTTAAAGTCGCCTCATCCTTCTCACAGGCGAGAGCTGCCTTTGCTGCCGCCGCCTGTGCCAGTGCGGAGTGAGATGGCATGCTGCCATGGGGCAACCACAGCCTCGCTGGTCTTCCCCTTACGAGCCCTTGCTGTTGGGATGAGAGAGGTCATTTTCCAGAGTCCTAGAGTGTCCACTGATCCAAAGAGCCTGGGGAGCAGCTAAACCCTCCCTAGACAGATGAAGAAACTGAAGCCCCGAGAGGGGCATGAAGAAGGGCAGTATTGGTTTAGTTGTCCCCTGATAGGGGACTGGCATGGGATGGGGTCAGCCCTGGAGGGAGAACCTCTGCTCTCCCTGTCCTGTTCTCACAGTGCCTCAGAGCCTGTCCCCTTGATTCGGGGTGTTTTGCTCAGCCTGTTTGTACAAGGGGGCAAAGCCACCTAGATATATGCCACATAGATGTTGGAGGTGAGTTCCTCAGAGCTGCCTATTTTGGGGTGTGGCACTCACCTCTCATCCTGTGGCCAGAGCTTACCTGGCTTTGATTTCATCCTCATCAGAAAGTAGTAGTTCTGCTGTCTAACATAGAGTTAAACTCTGTCTAACGTAGAGTTTTTCGTTTGCTTGTTTCTAGAGCAAATCATGGAGGAAAATAAAAAACATGGTGCACTGGTCTCCCTTTGTCATGTCCTTCAAGAAGAAGTACCCCTGGATCCAGCTGGCAGGACACGCAGGTAGCTGCAGCTCTCCTGGGACGTCTGGCTCTCTGGGGAGGCGACCAACACGTGTCGGGGGTGGCCCTGGATATTCTGAGAGTTCAAGGTTCCGAACAGAGATGCTCTCCGAGAGAAGGGCCCTAACACTGCTTGAAAATGCACATGACAATCGCCCTCTCCCTAGTCTGCGTCACCCCTTCACAGATCACACATCTCTCCCTTCAGACTCTTGTCTCTTTCAATCTCTTTCTCTCAATCTCGCTTTCATTTTAACTCAATAAAACAAAGTCATCCGTCTTTTTAGCTCGCCTGCCATTTGTCACCCTGGACAAAGAGACAAAGCTAAGTGCCTCCCTGAGTGCCTGTTTTATGCTCACCTCACTGTGCTCCTCGGGGTAGCAGCACGAATGCAGATACAGTGTCTGCCCCAGAGGAGACTCGTAGCTGGTGGGAGAGACGGGCAGGTCACTCCACGAGTGTTAGATGGTGTGGAGTGCTGGTTGCAGTGGCCAGGCCCTGGGCTAGCTGTGAGGTCTCCAGGTGGCCCTCAGTGACAGGGGAGGACATCTAGAGCTGTCTAGCCCACTAGCCGTGGCCCTTTGTCATGCATCGTCCTTTGTAATGATGATCCATCCATCATCAGGGGGGTTTTCAGTGGCTGCCTGTGGACTTCAGGGCAGCGCAAGGTCTGACATTTTTTTTATATCCTCAACCACGTTGGCCTAGCTCAAGGCAGGCCGATGGACATCCTTCCTCAGTACTTGCCTGAGGGTGTGGCTCAGAAATGTGGAGTCCCCAGGTTTTCTCCCTGCCTGGCAGTAAGTCCCATCCTATCAGGGCTTCTCCACTGAGAGTGGAGACACCTTCGTGGCTGGTAAGGGTTGATGGTGGGGTGGGGGGTAGAAATTGCATAGAGTGGGGTGCGTAGGTCCTGCCCAGAACCTCTGCTAGTCTTGCTCACCCTCCAGCTGTGAGCACTGCTCTGCTCCCAACCTCAGAGGAGGAGCCTGGGGTCTGGGAAGTCGGGGAACCAGCCCAGAGTTGCCGTCTGGGTGTAGGGGAGACTGGGACTTGCCCCCATTCCCCTTAAAGGGCTCGTTCCGCCAGCGGGGACCTGGGCACACCCTGAGCCCTATGCTTAGCCAACCCCGCAGCATCCCCTGTGATGGAGGGGCGTGTGTGCCACAGGGGGAGGTCAGGGCGGGGAGGGCCCGGGCCAGAGACCCAGGGTCTCCTCCACCTCGCTCCGCAGGGAGCTTCAAGGCGGCTGCCAACGGCAGGATCCTGAAGAAGCACTGCGAGTCGGAGCAGCGTTGCCTGGACAGGCTGATGGGCGACGTGCTGAAGCCCTTCGTGCCTGCCTACCACGGGGACGTGGTCAAGGACGGGGAGCGCTACAACCAGATGGACGACCTGCTGGCTGACTTCGACTCACCGTGTGTGATGGACTGCAAGATGGGCGTCAGGTGAGCCAGGCTTCTGGGACGGGGCCCGCCCGCTCCTCGGCACCCAGCTGGCCGGGCAGCAGATCCTGGGCACAGCGGCGCTCAGGGATCCCAGGAGGCGAGGCTTTCTGGGTGGTCCCTGAGGCCTCATGTGTGCGAGGAGAGGCCAGGGGTCTGGGTGGACCCCAACCCCAGTCATCTTGCATATGTGTGGAGGGGACAGGGAGGCTGGCTCTGCCCAGGACGACCCCTTTCCTTCTCCAGTGAGCCAGGGGCCGAAGGGACCTGGAGGAGTGCGGAGCCTCCCCACGGAGAGGGCTGCCCGTTTGGTCAGGCGGGATTGCTGGGGCGAGCAGGGGGGCGGCTTCCTGTTACATGGGCTACGAGAGGGGCGACGGGAGGGAGGCTCTTGTTACCCCACTCTCCCGCCCCGGCCCCCTGACAGCAGGTACCGGCTTTCTGCCTTCTGGACTGGGGCTGGTGGTGGCCCCAGCCTGGCAGCTGCATGTTCCCGGGTCAAGGGCCGGACACATGGCCAGATGTGTATGTGGGCGGCCTGTGTGTGGAATCGGGGCCCCCCACCCCATCCCAGACTCTGCCCAGACAGGACCCAGGAGGGAAGGAGACAGGAAGAGTGGGCTGGAGGAGACAAGGTGGCGAGCAGAGCCCAGAGGGCCTGAGACCTGGCCGCCGTCCCTGCTTTGCTGGTCGGGTTTTCTCATCTCTCAGACTCTGACCATCTCACCTCAGGAGTCACAGGGTAACTCCTTCTCCCCAGCAGGGCAGCGGGTGGGGAAGTCCCCACAGGCCTCAGAGAGCCGCCCCGCTGCAGGTGCCGAGAGGAGGCGGCCAGACGCCGGCTCCTCCATCCCACCCGCTGCCCGCTGGGGAGACCAGGCTCCCAGCCGCAGAGCTCACAGCTGGAGCCTGTGTTTGCTTTGGATGGTTTAAGCAGTTTTATTTCTTAAAAGAGGAGATTGAGAAAGAGGAGTGTGTGTGAGAGTGTGTGCATGCGTGCGTGTGTGCGTCCGTGCAGGAGAGAAGCAGGCAAGCTGGTCAGTTTTCTTTCCCTCTTCATTCCTCCTGGGAGTTGTGTCATAAAATCAGACCCTGCAAACTGGCCCGCTGTGTCCCCTTGGCATTGCCCCGAGGGCGGGGACGAAATGGTGGGTAAGTATAGGTCCTAGTCTTTGCTGTGGCACTGCCCCCAGCCTTCTCCTCCTTCCATCCAGGGGTCTCACCACCTCCAGCCCACCAGGGAGGAGACAGAACGTCCCTTCAGCCACCACTTGGCCACTGCTCTTCCATCCCACCCACTGTACAGTCAGACCACGGCCAAAAAAAGTACACCCCGTGGGAAGAATGCCTGGCTAGTCAGTTCCGAAAGGCTGCCGGTGTGCCTGTCTTGTTCCCTGGCAGGCTGGGGGGACAGGAGCCTCCCCTCTCACCAAGGCTTCCCCTTCCCCCTGCCACCTGGAGCCTCTGTCCCATTGTAACCAGGGCTCTCGGGAGCCACCAGCAGGGCTGAGACACAGTTAGCTCAGTCCTGGGCAGAGCTTGGAGACTGAAAGTGTGGGCAAGTGAGGGCCCGAGTGGAGGGAAAGGGATAAGTCTCCCCCAAACCAGTCCCCCTCCAGCCCCACCTTCCCTGTCTCCTGGGTCCTGAGCGTGGAGGGCCCTTCTGTGCTCCGAGTGTTGGGGACTTCTTCCAGCCGTCCTGGCAGATGGGCCTCAGGCCAGTCTGAGGCAGTAGGCCTCGGCCACCAGAGCCTAAGAGAGTCACCAGGGCCACGCAGCCAGACAGACGCACCGCCCACCTCTGCAGCCGGCCTCTGACTGCCAGTCTAGCCTGGGCTGCAGCTTGGCCCTTCCCAGGGGCTCTGGTTGTCAGAGGGAGGAGGCCGGAGCCGGGGCCACCACAGACCCTGCATCCCAAGCAGGAGGGGTTCAGATTCGTCACAGACTAAAGGCTGGTCAGCAGACTGAGCCTCAGCCACGGTGGGGCCTGAGGAAAGGGTGATGGAGGCACCTGTGGTGTCCTAACGAGGGGCATTCTTGGGACCCCGGTTCCACAAGGACATCAGCCTGCTTTGCTCTAGGGAGTTTTCTTTGATTTAACCTGTAACTCTGTGTCTGGAGACTCAGGAGTGTCTTCCTGACGTTCGGGCCAGGGGCTGGCAGGCAGAGACCGAGCTGCCTTAGCACCTCTGCCCTTGTGGAAGCAGGTTGGGGAGGGTGCTGGGCATGGGTGGCTTTGGTGTGTCACCTGTTGGCTCCCCGTGAGCCAGCTGCCTTCCTGAGAGGCGCCCTCCCTCTGTTTCATCTTGTGACTTCGCCCCTGGGCCTCTGCTCCTCCACATGACAGGGAGGCGTGACCTTCCCACAGGGGTGGACGAGGTGGGCTGGGCCAGTGTCAGGACACCTCCCAGTGGACCCCTGACCCCACCATCCAGCTTGTGACCCTTGTAGGCATCTGCCCAGCCCCTTACCTCCCTGAAAGGTGAGCAACTCTGCCCAAACTGAGCTACTCGGGCCCCTTTTTGGAGAAAGGCCCATGTGGAGAGGGATTTGACATTGAGGCTTGCTTCCTGTTTAAGGAGCTACTGAGAAACCTTTGCAGAAGTGCATCCACCCACCCGCCCTGCAGGCCTCTGCAGTGCTCTCAGGAGCATTGGGATGGCAGCCCCTTCCACACCACACACACAAATACACAACACGGGCCAGCATGACGCAAGTCCACGCAGAAGCCGCCTGCCCACAGCCTCTGCCCTGAAGCTGTCATCATCACTGACCTGGCTGTGCACACGGTGGTGTTTGTGTGCACGGGCGTACATGTAGTGGTGTGTGCATGCATGTGTGTGTGTGTAGACGACACAACTGAGGCAGACTGCCTCCTTCTGGTGGTCATTCCCTGTGCTGTGCCGCGCTTAGTCGCTGAGTTGTGTCCGACTTTCTGCGATCCCAGGGACTGTAGCCCGCCAGGCTCCTCCGTGCATGGGATTCTCCACGCAAGAATTCTGGAGTGGATTGCCATGCCCTCCTCCAGGGGATCTTCCCACCCCAGGGATCAAACCCAGGTCTCCCACATTGCAGTGACTTCTTTACCGTCTGAGCCGCCTGGGAAGCCCAAGAATACTAGAGTGGGTAGCCCATCCCTTCTCCATAGGAACTTCCTGAACCGGGCTTTCCTGCGTTGCAGGCGGATTCTTTACCATCGGAGCTACCTAGGAAGCCCTCGTCACTCCCTGGAAGGTCCTAAATGACCAGGCCCAAGTTCACACCCAAAGATTTGCTTTTTTCTTGTTAAGAGTTGGTCCAGTGATTCTGGAAACTTTTTAATAGATGTAGATTTGACTAGTGTGTTCTGAGTCCCACACTGGCCGGTTGGAGGTGTGGTGGGTGTCAGTGGAGCAAAGCCCCTGGGGACAGATGGCAGGTGGAGGCCAGGCCGGTTGTCACAGGCCACTGTGTGGGCAATGCCCACCCACACCGGCCCCGGGGAGAAAACTTCCGTCTGCTTAACTGACGCTGCAGGTTTCTGTTTCAAGAAGGGTCACAGACAGCTGCTGAACTCATTGTCGGGGGTGACGGGGAGTTTGAAATAGTAGCAGGGAGGAGGGTGGGCATCTGATATGCAGCAGGGGAGTTGACTCACCCCGTTGGCCCTGGGGTGTGCAGCAGGGGGGTGACTCACCCCATTGGCCCTGGGGGTCAGGGAAGCAGCCTGGGGCCAGGAATTCAGTGCCAGGCTGCTCAGAGTCTGTACTGTCCCCGCTTCTGTAACGTCTGCTGATTTCTAGGGAACCCCTGCCAGTTGGGCCTGCAGGCTCCCCCCCCCACCCCCGCTGCCCTGCCCCCAGCACCTGTGCAGAGGGCGCGGCGGCGAACAGTTTGCTTAACTGCATCTTCTCGAGGCCTGGTGTCTGAGAGTCAGGAAGAGCCCGGCATGTCTCTTCTGTAGCAAAAGGAGCCCCAAGGCTCCCCTCTCCTCCCCTCCATCATGCTTCTCCCTCCAGCACTGTGGCTCCTTCAGAGACCGCCTTCTGGCCTGGCCTTTTTACTCAAGGTGTTCTCTCTTCAGAGAGAGCCCTCAAGAGCACCAGGGAGATGGGCAGGGTAGAGGGACAGAACATGCTTCCAGACCCACACAGGTGCTGGCTTCCGAAGCCCTCGCTTCTTGGGAGCGTCGCAGGCAGCCATGGGGGGCGGGGAGGCTGGGCCCTGAATGGACCTGCCCCCAGCCCCCTCCCCATCCTCACCCCAGCAGGACGAGCTCCCAAGCTGCCCTGCCTCCTCCTCCTCTGCTGATCCTTTGAGCTTCCCCAAGAAGGAAGGGCTCCTTGGGCTTTGTCAGGCCTTCCCAGTGGTCTCAGAATGAAGTTGCCCCCATTAGGCACAGCTGCCCCGGTCTCTGTAAAGAGCCAGGCCCAGCCCAACCCAACATGTGCCCACCCTGGGTGAGCCTGGCTTGGCCAAGCTGACTGCAGCCCTCGGGCAAGGCGCCAGTGGGCCTCGGTCCAGCCAGTGGCCCTCATGAGGCCTCCCTTCCCTCGCAGGACCTACCTGGAGGAGGAGCTCACCAAGGCCCGGAAGAAGCCCAGCCTCCGGAAGGACATGTACCAGAAGATGATTGAGGTGGACCCAGAGGCCCCGACCGAGGAGGAGAAAGCCCAGCGGGCCGTGACCAAGCCGCGGTACATGCAGTGGAGGGAAACCATCAGCTCCACGGCCACCCTCGGGTTCAGGATCGAGGGCATCAAGGTGAGGACGGCCCGGTGGGGCCTGAAGCTGCCTGAGCTGCCCAGCTCCTGGATGGGAAAGGACTGGGTCCTTAGATCCTACCAACATTCACCCCAGGGGTTAGTCCTTCAGAGGCTGTAAGATTCCTCCCAGTATAGACCCAGGGCATGGGCAGCCAACCCCAGGGGCAGACGTTTGGGGAAATTGGCCTACTCCTTGATCTGAGTCCGGGTAGGATGGCCATGGAGGGGGCTGGGGCCTTGGAGCAGGGGTAGCTTCTAGCCCTGCCCAGCAGTAAGCTCTCTGCCAATGACCCTGCCTTCAGTCTAGACCATGCCCGGCCCTGAGTACCCACCCAGGAGGGCCCTGCCTGGATACCAGGGCCGGGAGCTGGCTCATTCTCCCCAGGGTCCCAAAATGAGGACTTACAGTGAGATGCAGGCAAGGGAGGGAGCCTGCTAGCTGCTTTGACATCCGAGTCATCTGCCCAGGCCGGCAGGACTAGGCACTGCTCCGTCCAAGTCACCAAACACCTCTGGGGAGCCTGCACCGAGGCCACCTCCCAACTTCTAAGCCACCTCATTCTCCTTTCTTTCCCCTTCACTCATCTGAGTAGGGCCTGAGAATGCTTTCCCCAGACCCTGGCTCCTAGACGCCGCCCTTGCTGTTGGATCTGGGGGTCAGCTCAGACGTGCGTTTCGCCTCAAGCAGCATGGTGTGAGGTGCTGGCCCCTAGGTCTCAGGCAGCCATCCCTGTCAGTGAAGGACAGTCCCTGAGCGTTCTTGGGTGTCTCTGCTCTGTCCATTCTTGGCTCATGTTGGCCGGCCCTTGCCCAGAGTAGGGCATGAGTCCCGAGCAAGTGACACCAGGGCAGCTTCCTTGCAGACGGCATTAGGTGGAAGTTTCTGCTGGGCAGTGGCCCCCAGGACAGCTGCTTTACGAGCTGAGAAAGCCACTTGCCCCTCCCTTGTCTTCTGACATCAGCTTTTGCTGTGCCCTGCGTCCAGTGTTGTTATATGCACATCCTCTCCCTCTCAGCGCTCCTTTTCCTTTCTGGATCTGTCTGAGGCAGTCTGCTTTCCCCTTCACCTCTCTCTCCATCTCAAGCTGGGTCTTCTGGTCTCTGTCGTCCAGCTGTGTGGGAGCAGCCCACAGCCCGTCTTCTTGGGCTCTGAGAGAAGCCAGCTGCCTTCACCAGCTCTCCACCAGCCTCTCCCCTCCCTTAGTCCAGGAAAGGGCCCCCGCAGAGACCCTCTGGGGTGGGGAAGGCCCAGCCCACAGCTCTCTCACGCTGCCCAGGGTCCTGCCTGTTCTTGTAGAGGCAGCCACAGTGCCTTAAGCTCAGCTCCTGGGGTGCACAGACCCACGTCTGGGGGCTCCTGGGGAGCCATCCTTGCTCACTCTTTGATCTTAAGGAACAGATTCCTCATGGAGGTGCTAAATAAGCCCCACGAGTTGCCTGGTCTTCCTGGAACAGACTTAGCACCGGGCTCAGGAAATGGACCCATTTTGTGTGCTGGGCGGGGCTGGGAGCCGGGTGGGCTGTTAAACCTCAGCTTTCAGGGAACCTAAGTCAGATACCTGTAATTACAAAGGGAATCTGAACATGGGGCAAGGGCCGCCTCTTTCCTGTGGTGAGCAAGGGCGTCCTTGGGCAGCAGGGACCTTCTGGCACCCGGGTTCTAGGATCCTGGCCTCTAGGGGCAGCGGAGGCCCGTGCGGCTCCCTCAGAACCCCGCTGCTCACACTCAGGATCCTCAGGATGGGCAGCTGTCACGGCCTTGCTCCCCCATCTTGGCCCAAGCGCCCCTCAGGCCTCCAGGCCTTCCTAATGCTCTTCCTCTGCCTGAGACGCTGGTGCCATCCACTCCTCCTCATCCAGGACCCAGGCCAGGCACCCTCTGCTGTGCGTCTGATTAACTGCCCTGTGCCCGGTCAGTCTGGCGCCTGCCTCCTGGTGCTGCACGCGGGCACCTCACTGCCTGGGGGTCAGTTTGGGGCTCCTGGCTCTGAAGCACAGGGTGGGGGAATGAGTTCAGTGCCCACCTGTGGGCTGTCTGCTGACCTGCCTCCCGGGTGGGTGTCGTTCTCCTCAGAAAGAAGACGGCTCTGTGAACCGGGACTTCAAGAAGACCAAAACGAGGGAGCAGGTGATTGAGGCCTTCAGAGAATTCACTAAAGGAAACCCAAACATCCTGGTGAGTCAGGTGCCCCCCGCAAAGGGGCTGAGCCCTCTTTGGGGGTTCTTGCCCAGCCCAAGACTGAGCCGTGGTACCCATGCAGAAAACCCTGGCCTCAAACTTCTGCTTGGAAGGTAGAGAGGGAGGTGGTGTGGTTGTCAGCCTGTCGGCAGGTGAACATGTGCTCGTTTTTTCCCTTTGCCAGAAACTCAGCTCCCCAAAACGTCTCCATCCCCTTCAGAGCAGTCCTTTCCAACGTTGTGTTCCCCTAGCCTCTCCCCCGCCCCCCTGCCCACTCCCTGCCAAGTAGTACGCCAAGTGCTCACCAAACCCTCACAGCAGCCGCCTGCAGCGGCTCGGCATCCTTGTCCCCATTTTCCAGATGAGGAGACTGAGTGGGCAAGGGCACGCAGCTAGGAAAGCGGAGGAGCTGGGGCACACACCCAGTGGGCCGGCAGCCTGCTGGTCCCTGCACTTCTAGGCCTGGCCAGCCCTCCACCAGGCTGAGACGGAGTGACGGAAGTGTGCGGGGGTTGGGGCTGAGATGTCACATCATGCTCCCCTGCAAGAACTGACGGGCTGTCTGCGCCTGGAGGTGTGGGTGGCAGAAGTTCGTGACAGATGACTTCATTTGCTGTAGGCAGGCTGGACAGATGCTCTGAGCCCTGGGATCATGTGAGATAGGGCGTGTTGAGCCCACACCCCAATTACAGGGCACCCTGTGACCGTCAAGGACTTGACTGCACCAGGGAGGTGGGCCCTGGATCCCGCTTGAGAGGTGCCTTCTCCTGCACGGGCTCCCCAGGATGCTGAGCTAGAGGGCTGGACCCAGACAGCCCTTCTCCAAGGAGACTCGGCACCAGCTGGTACTGGGGCATCTCCCTCTTGCCTTCTCCAGCCGAGAGACTTTGGCCCGTGGTAAGAGCTGAGGCTTCAGGCATGGGACAGGTGCCCCAGCTCAGTAGAGCTGCTGCAGAGTGCACGGTGCCCGCGCCCGGACAAGGGGGGTTTATTGCTGGCGCTCAGCCCCAGGCTGGCGCTGCTCCACATGGGCGTCGAGGGGACCCTGAGTGCTTGTGTGCAACGGGCTTCCCTTCTCGCAGCCCCCCGGGAGTCTGGACACACCAGGGCCAGCACAGCTCTGCGGAGAAGCCACTGGAAGAGGGATTTGTGGCTTTGGCTCTTTTATGCTGTTCTTTTCAAAAGTTCAGGGCACTTAAGTTTGTGTCAGGAAGTTCGCACCATGGCAACCAGGCTCTCTGGGTGCTGCCTCCACACTGCTGGCATTCCAGAATAGACTTAACCCCTGTGCGAGGGGCGTTGGGAGCTGACTCCCCTCCACCCCGGCACCTCCTGTCACGAGGCAGAGTGGAGTAGAGGGAGCGTGGGATCAGGGCCCCGTTGCCGTGCCCTCGTGGCCCCTCAGTTTCTTCATTTCTAGATGAGGAGGTTGAAATAATCAGAGTGTAAGGACCCTCTCATGCTGACGTCAGCAACTCTTAACGGGCTAAATGACACCTAGCCGCCACACAACCCACCCACCCCCCACCCCGATACCTTTAAAAATCTGGGCATCTTTCTGTTCCCAGATTGCCTACCGGGACCGGCTGAAGGACATCCGGGCCACCCTGGAAATCTCTCCCTTCTTCAAGTGCCACGAGGTGGGTGTCGGGCGTTTGTCCTCAGGGGTGGAGACCTGTGCTCTTTGTGGTGGGCCATGACCTCGGGGCGCACCTGCCTGAGTTGTGGGCCTGCCCCCCATGCCAGCAGACCTGCTCCTGAAGCCTGGGGGCCATCCTTAGGCTGACTGCAGCCGGGTCAGCCCCTCACTCCACGCAGGAACCACACTGCAGCCATCTGCCAGGTTCCCCGGGACGGCCACGGGGACTGAGCTGTGGTCCCGTCGCCCTCTCCTCCCTCTCCCTCCCGGCCGCGGGGGCTCCTCCGTTCTGAGTGGCTGTGGCAGACTTGTGTCTCCCACACCGGAGGTTCCCTGAGCCTCTGGAGTAGCCAGGTAGCCCTCCATCACCACCCCGAGATCTTCAGGAAGGGCAGGCAGGTCTCAGGGTACCACTCTGGAGCAGGGCTCCTGCCTTCCTCTGCGGGCAGAAGGCAGCACGCAAGGAGCCTGAGAGAGAGAGGATTTGGGGATTGACAGCAGTACCCAGAGGGGCTCATGAGACCCTGACTTGCTGGGGAGCCCAGGCCCACGTGTGAACATGCACACACACGCACAGGGTCTGCCACCCTGGACATTCCTCCGTGGCTCTGTTCACACTGTGGGCGGTCTTGTTCTGGATCCCATGCACTCTGCCCTGGGCATGGCCACCCTCCTGGGCTCTGCTGCCCAGGAGAGAATGCGGGAATGGAGCCGTGGGCTCTGGGCCTCACCTGAGTGCAGCTCTGCCCACCTCACACTGAGGTCTCCGGCTTTCCCGAGCCTGGTCTGCAGCAGGGGGAGGTCAGGGCGGGACCTGGCCCTTCCCGGCCTCATCTCCCTGCTCCCCTCCAGGTCATCGGCAGCTCCCTCCTCTTCATCCACGACAAGAAGGAACAAGCCAAGGTGTGGATGATCGACTTTGGGAAAACCACGCCCCTGCCCGAGGGCCAGACCCTGCAGCACGACATCCCGTGGCAGGAAGGGAACCGGGAGGACGGTTACCTCTCGGGCCTGAACAACCTCATCGACATCCTGACGGAAATGTGCCCCAGTGCCCCGCTCGCCTGAGGCCACCCTCTGCCCCGCCTCACCACCGCCCTGGCCTCTTTGTCCGCTTGCTTTCCTTCTCCTTCTGAATTTTTCCTTCACTCCCCCGCTGGGTGGAAGCCCCAGCACTGACCCTCCTGATCGATGGGCACTACAAGACACTTTGTAGAAGAGATGAGATTTTCTAGTTACTTCCTTTATTGAAGGGCTTGAAGCTGGGGTTTCCACTTTCTTTGTCAGTAGGGTCTCCTACTAGCAGAGAAATGCCCAAACCCAGGCTTGGCTGCCTGCTGGGAGGCCAGTAGGGTCTAGAGCTGGAGGGAGGCTCAGGCAGCCATGGGGTTCCTGGCTCCAGAGGGGACCCTAGCAGAAGAGCCCCCCAGCCTCTGGGCAGGTTACCTGTGGGGGCCTGCTGCCCCCTGGTGGCTGGTGCCTGTGATGGCACTGTTAGGTGTAGCCCGCTTCTGCCTTACCCTTTAGGGGATGGGTCCACTGTTTCTCTGGACGTGGCGACCTGCTGCCAGGCTTTCTGGTATTTGGGGCACAAAACTACTGGGAACAGAATGTCAGTTGTGAATAAAAGATGCTCTGTTTATCAGCCGAGGGACTCCCAGAGATGCCCTGGTGGCCTTTGTAGGTCTGCCAAAGCAGGGACCCCTCCCATTGGGTACTGAAACGCCCCATCACTGGGATAGACCCAGGATCCAAAGGTCCCAGACCCCACTTGACTGGGCTCTCTGACATTGACCTTCCCGGGAGGGCGCAGGCAGGAGCTTTGTTCTTCCTTCTGTGGTCTTGGCATGAATTCAGGGGGACACTCTGCAAACCTGAGCTTTCAGAGATGTCCCCTGACCCCTGGGGCCTTCCATCTGTGCCTCCCACCTGTGCCTCCCACTTCCCACCTTACTTTGAGAGGTCCTGAGGGCTGGATGGCAGCGGGCCAGGGCCCAGGCAGCGTCAAGGGGAGAAAGAACCTGCAGAGGACACTCCTCTCCTGTCCTCTCACCTCCCCACTTCCTAGTGCCAGCTGGTCCCCCTGATGCACACCCGGGGCTCTCGTGAAACCCAGAGTGCCCAGCAGTTAGGGGGCAGAGCCTCGGGCTAGTGCTGAGCAAGGAGGAAGCAGGACATTGGCTCACTGGCATCATTTTCCCCCTGAAATACTCTTAGTAGCCTGGAGGGCTTAGACCCATTTCCCAAATGTGGTGGGGGCAACTTCCTGAATATGTGGAAGGTGCCAGGCATCTCTTCCTGGGGTTTCTAGGTTGCTTGAAGATTCATAGGGTTAGGGTTAGGATTGTAAGCCTTATTTTAGTTGTAAAGCAAGTAGGTCTGTATTATTGAGAAGGATGTAGATCTCGCATGACTTTTAAAGAACAAAACTCCAGCTCTGTGGCCATTTGGTGCTGTGCCCCAGGTGCTCACCTGTGCTGCAGGAGGTTGGGCCCATTGCTCTGCAGGGAGATGCTCCGGGGACATGTGAAGTGGATGTGTCCCCAGGTGTGTGTGCCTGGAGGACCAGTCCACAGGGAGGGCTTCTTGGGCTGCCCCCTGTCACCCCTGGGTCTCTGTGGGTACTGTCAACTTGCCCGCATGACTTACATTTCCCTTTTCATCCTGGGTGAGTGACAGTTGGTGGGGGTGGAGGGTGGGACACACGAGGATGTGTAAGTACAGATTTTAAAAAAGGAAATCACTTTTCAACTTCCTGGCACTTGTTCAAAACAGCAGTGATCTCCAGTGTGGGCAGACTTGCTAAAGGTCACACCCCTGCCTGGCTGAGCACTAGAGAGCTCGTGACACCACGTGACCCCAGAAGGCAGAAGCGCCAAAGTCAGCTTGGGGTCTGGGAGCTGTGGTCAGCTAGGTCAGAAGGGACCCCCGGGGTCTGTGCTGCAACTGTCTTGCGGGGGGGGGGGTTCTGGGACATCATGAATTCAGATGTAAAGTGCCACTAGGGGCTGGCTGAGTTACCCTCATTGTACCTATGAAAAAAAGTTTGCTAAAGCAAAATAATAATGCTATGAACAAAAATTACAGGGGACCAGCTTAACCGATTGAAGAGAACAAACTTTCCAAGCACTTTAAGCAGACACCAGTTGTTTGCAAACAATGTGCTAATATACAAGTGATTTGTTCATTAAAGGTGCCCCAGAGGGCCTCCTCTTGGCAATTCTTTGCTTTGGGTTACAAGTATATATGTGAATGGTAGAAAGTGGTATCTCTGTGGGGTTATTCTATTACTTAGGGGTTTGAGGGTTTTGTATTTCCCATGCTAATTCTGCTGCACACCTCCTCTCTCTCACCCCATTCTCCCCGCTGTCCCCCACTCCTCCGTTGTCCAAGTGGGATGGATGGATCCTGGAATGGGATTCAGGCAGTCTGGAAACCTCCCCCAGCCAGCCCGGTCCTGGCCCTGCAGGTGTCAGGAGGGAGGGATGAGGTGTGCACACCTGCACACAAGTGAGTGGGTGGCCCCGTGGGGGCCCGGGGCTCCTGGGGTTCAGCACTGCTCAGCAGTGGAGGGGGGTTCTCAACTGCTTGTCCCAAATGTGCTTTTAGTGTCATGTAAGAGGTTTTTAAGTTATATTTATTTTGTGGGTTTTTCAATTGCACAAAACACTAAGTCTGAGAGGCTGGATGCTACTTCTCCTTTAAAGCTCTGCCTTCTTTCTGAACGCCTTTTCCCACCCAGTGGAAAGAACCCGGATGTAGCCTTGGCCACTGTGCCCCTCCCCTCCCCACTCCCCATGGACTCTTTCCACCGTTAGCTGTATTTAGCTTGGAGTTTCTCTGCGTCTGGTCAACCCCCGTGTGTATATAACCCAGGCCCTTGCTTGGGAAGAGGCGAGGTGCTCACCCCCTGCCAGTGCCTTTTTCTGGAGAAGATGACTCCCCCGGGTGTTCTCCTTCCCTCTGCACCCCTCTCCTCGCCACACCTTTGGAGAAAAGTGAGCTGTTACAGACCCCCGCACCGTGCCTGTCACACAGACTTCACACGCTCTGTACCGTCCTGAATAAAGGCCCTGGAGACCATGGTGCTGGGTGCCATCTGTGTGTGCTGTCCTTCCCTCCCCATGTCCTTGAGGGGTGTCTGGGGGCGGGGGCAAGGGTATCTTTGTAAGTTGGAGGATCCAGTGGGGCTATGACAACTCCCAGGTGTGGGGTGTCAGATTGGGTAATATTTTAATCGGCAAAGGATTTTAAACGCTTTTCAAAACTCTTTTCTACTCTTCCCATGAAAACTTCACATAGTAACTCAGGGATGAAGCCACAGTCTGCTCTGCCCCGGAGCTGGCAGAGCTGCCAGCAGCCTTTGCTTACAGAGCCTGGCTCTGGATGCTCGCGTCTCCAGTCCCCTTGGATCCTGGTATCGGCTCCATGAGTAAGGCTGTATAGTCTACCAGTGGGGAAACTGAGGCTTAGAACAAGCACCTTGTCCTGGGTAATAAGTGGGAAGCAGGGATTCAGATCCAGAATTTGCCTGTTTTTAAAACCAGTTCTGTCTTCCTCCCTCCCTGGGAGGACATCTGGAGGACAGAGAGCTTGTCTTATCTTTGCCATGCATCCCAGGCACTGAGCACCAAGCCTGGCACATACAGCCGCCCAGCGAGAGTTTGGTGGGCTAACGAGGGACCGTGTGGCTGGGTTGGCTGAGGAAGACCGCTGAGAGCAGGAGCCCCAGCAGCACATCAAGGATTTGCCATGCCCTTCCCTTAGGCCCCTCCCAGCTCTGGGCTGCTGGCAGCTTCGTTTGCAGAACCCAGCATTCTGTATCCAGGGGGCTGGTTCATCCTTCGTTATCATTTTGAAAAGTGACAGGACAGAAGCACAAAAAGCCACAGTGCCTGTGCACCTTCTGTCCCTGGACTGCTCTCCCCAGGTTATCCCGTGGTGACTGTGCTCATTCTCACACCTGGATCTCCTTCCTGTCCATGCCCCACACTGGCTTCGTGGGCTCCAACCAGGTTCATCCCACCTGCTTCCTGCCCTTCCTTCCCTGTCAGCCCAGAGCCCTGGGACGTGCCCAGGCCTGTGCCTGTATAACTCTGAAGTCAGGGGAATTTAACACCCCTTGTCCCTGAGGTACAAACCTTTCCCCAATGGGAGACAGGAACAGGTCACTAGGTCCCTGCCCCTTCACCACACACCCACCTGCCTGACGGATGCAGCTAACCAAAGGTCCTATTAGATAAGACCAGCGCCGGTCTTCATTCTGACAAAGAAGCTTCACTGGAGAAAAGTGAGCTGTTACAGACCCCCACACCGTGCCTGTCACACAGACTTCACAGACTGTACCTTCCTGAATAAAGGCCCTGGAGACCATGGTACTGGGTGCTGTGTGTGCTGTCCTTCCCACCCCACGTCCTTGAGGGGTGTCTGGGGGCAGGGGCAAGGGCATCTTTGTAAGTTGGAGGATCCAGTGGGGCTTCATTCTGACGAAGAAGCAGGAAACAAGCCTCCTCCTCAGGCTTTGCTCCCCGGGGAACTTCAGCAGAGATACCATCCTTTAGCTCTTGGCTCCCATGTTAACTCCTTGGGAAAGTCTCTGAACCTCTGGCTAAAGCAAGTGTATCCCAGCCACACTCATCTTCCGCACGCTGCGCAGTGCTCCAGACCGTCTACAGGACTTGGGGTCTGTCTCCTCCATTCCGAGAGCAGAGACTTGACCTTTTAATGACATTTTGCAGGGCCAGACACAGGGCAGGTGCTCAGGCAATGTTGATGGGGTCCCTGAGCACCCCCAGTGACCATGGCTGTCGGGCACACAGATGCCCCTCCTTGGGCGGGAGAAGAGCTGCTCCCAGCTGGCATGGATTACCTGGCCTCCACCCTCTCCTGCCTTCTTGTCTGTGCCTCCTTCAGCCATCCGTTCTCAGTGTCTTTCTCTGGATTTTGCCGTTGCCAATAACTGCCCAGTAGAGGCACTCATGGAGAATACTCCAGTATTCTTGCCTGGGAAGTCCCATGGACAGAGGAGCCTGGCTGGCTCTAGTCCCTGGGGTCGCAGAGTCGGACAGGACTGAGAGACTAAAGAACAACAATGAAGGCCCTCAACAAGCACTTTCTGGGACGGATGAGTGTCACTCCCTCTGCTCACCATCATCACCCCTCCCCCCACCAGGTTTGTGATCACTCCCAACCCATGTGCGGCTCCTGTGGCTGTGAAACCCTGGCCTTTTGTGTCCACCTGGTCTCCCTACTCAGCCTCCTGTGTCTCCTGCATAGACTGATGGAGACATCGCTACAACCCACCAGAGGTGCCATCCCTACCCTCTGCCTGGGACCTGGGCCACCCACTCGACCGGGGCTCCTCTCCAGCTCTGTGGTCAGGGGACCAGGAGCATCCAGGCCTTCTCAGCTTCTGCACTCCTCATCCTGCTGACTTGGAGTGGACCCTACATGTCCCCTAGAGGCTTGGGCCACAGAGAAAGGACCAGACCCCAGGCTGTGGGGACACTTTTAGACAAGCATGTGTACCACCAGGGTACATGTGCCCCTGGGTGGAGAATAGCCATCCTCTGACTCAGTTAGTGGGATCTTGGGTCTTTCTGCCTGCTTCAGACAAGCTTCAGTGGCCAAGGTGGCCCGTCAAACCCTGCCTGCCCTGGGGAAGGAGAGTCAGCACGTGAACCAGTGGAGCTCAGGGACCCTGCTACCTGCAGGCCACACACTTCATAGGTGGAGACAGGATGAGGCGGCAGTGGGGTGGTGGGGATCACTCCAGTGCCTCAGGAGGGTTTGACCTTGGTGCAGCAGGTAAGTGTGGACCCTTCCAGAACTAAGTCAGCTCCCGTACCTTGGCCAGTCACGGGCCTGCCCCTGCTCACCTTCCACCCGCACTCCACCGGAACAAAGCGGGAGAGCCCTGGGCACAGACATGGCCTGGTGGGCAAGCTGATATCACCACCCCACCCTGAGGTTCTGCTTCCTAAGGGCGACCAGCTGTCGGGGACCTGTGTGGTGGGGAACTGGAAGGTCAATCACCCTGCCACTTCCCAGAACCACTTGTGATACCAGCTGCTTTGGCTGGCTTCCCTGAAACACAGACGCCAAGGTAAAGGCTGATGCGCTGACACTTCATTGGGAAGAGCAGTCCCTGAGGGCAAAGGTGGGGGTGGGGTAATCGAGGCAGGGATGAGGGCAACGTGGACAGGAGGGAAGCTTACAGAGGCCTTCACGCTAGGGTCAGGGGTCGGTCCTGGGGGGCAGGAAGGAATGGACATTCCCAATGGTTATCTGTGTGCATCTCTGGGGTGACACTCCAGCTCCTTCAACAACCTGAGCACAGGTGCCCGTGCTGGGTCAACGCTGGGTAGGAGTGGGGGGCGGGGGACGTCGTGGCTCCTGGACTGTGGGGGGCAACACAGGACTTTGCTGGGTTGCTCCAGCTTCTAGGGTGCTGTGGGAACTAAGTCTGGTGAGGAGCTCTTTTTCCATAAACGCCAGCAGGGCAGCTCCCATTTGACAATCCTCTCTTCTTTCTCTTGCATTTCCCTGGCTGAGGGACTTACCCCCACACCCGGCTGGGCAGGAAGCTGGACGTGTCAAACCACCCTGCAGGTGTTCCAGGTCTGGGGAGGCGAGAGAGGTTGAAAAGAACAGCGCTCTCTGAGAGTCTCCAGAGGGCCGGCTGGAGAGTTGTCAGCTGTCTGGACAACATGGAGGCTGTCTCTGCCCCAGAAACCAGCAGGACACCTCCTTGAGATAGTATGAGGCCCAGCAGTTAGGGGAAGTTCTTGGGGGGTGTAGGCCCCCTAAGCAGATGTGGCCTGCTTAGCCAAGGGACCTCTCTTTCCACATCTGACATGGCCCTGGGGTCTCCCCAAGAATGCCACTGAAATCAGGGGAGTCATGTGGCTTAACACAGTGGCTTTTCACCTTTTGAGGATCATGGATGCCTGAGATAATCTAGAGCAGTGGACTCTTAATGTTTTTGGCACCAGGGACCAGTTTTTGTGGAAGACAATTTTTCCAGGGACTTGGGGTGCGGTTGGACTTCGGGGGTGGTGTTTCAGGATGATTCAAGTGCGTTGCGTTTATTGTGCACTTTAATCTAATGCCGCCACTGATCTAACAGGAGGTAAGGGTCTATGGCCCAGAGGTTAGGGACCCCTGATCTAGAGGGAGCTATGAACCCTCTTCTCAGAAAAATTTCCATAAGCAAATGCACAGACAAATTTATATATGAATGCAGGGACTTCTAGACACTCCACAAAGCCCCTTGAAAAATTCCCAGATAGTATGTGGGCCCTGGCTTAAGAACTCTTACACTGTAATTGCCCTTCCCAACAATACATCATGGACATGTGTCCCACCCCTCCCCTCACTGCAAGGACGTCTCTGCATGGGAGACTTGCCCGGCCTCTGTACCCCCTCCATCCTCTCCTTTAACCAGGAGACCTTCTAAACAGGCGTCATCTTAGAACTGCAGCCCATCTGTCTCTAAGCAGAGCTTTATGGGAAACAGCCATGCCCGTTCCTTCATGTACTGCATATGGCTGCTTTCGTACCAAACAGCAGAGTTGAGTAGTTGCCAGAGACTGAACAGCTGCAAAACCTAAAATATTTACTATCTGGCCCTTCACCAAAATGTCCTCCAACGCTTGTGGTGAAAAATTGCTACCTGTCAGGCACCATATCAGGTGACTTAAGGCTACCTAAAAACTTATAAAAACTTCACAAAATGGGCTTTGTTAATCCCATTTTGTACACAAGAGGCACAGAGAGGGTGGATAACTTACCTAAGATCACGCAGTTGAATCAGCCT